TTTGGTCTCATATAGTTGATTGTTTAAGGGGGCACATTACTCACAGGTGATTATTGTTTATTTTATAAGCCAATCCATTATTTGGCTGAAAGGTGACTCTGTTACTTCTATGAATAGAATGTAGGAGAATATTTTCTCTGGCTGATTGAAAATAAAGCGTGTGTATTTTCAACTTGGATAGTATTGACCCTTCTTGAGGAATAACATCAAGGGCAGTCAATCCAGTTTTCTTCCCAAATGGGAAAAGCTTCCAACAACCTAGGAGATCTGTAAGCACCAAATGGTATTTTCTTTTTCCAGTTCTAGTTGATTCCACATTCTTGATGCCTCACTTGAATAACCAGGTTTTACCTTTCTTTAATTGCACACTTTTGTGGGATATGTGTGTGTGTGTGTGTCTTATCCACAGAAGAAATTACATAGAAATAGTCATTGAAGGACCTTTTGAGAGAATTGACTTGGTCATGGCATTGGCTGTGATTGGCATCTTCTCTTCTGTCATTCTGTCATTCACTAGGTCTTGAGCCAACAGTCTAGACTCAGCAAATGGTTCCCCAGAGCAGTTGCAGCACAAAGTCTTGTTTATTTGAATAAAATATGACTATTTCTTTTGTCTTTCCTTCTATCCCTCCATTCACCTGGATACTTTTTCTGTTGTCCAGGACTTCTTCCCCTTCAATAACCTTCTGTTAATTTCTCAAAACTTCATACTTTTGTTATTGTTGTTAGTTGCCACTGAGTTGGCTCTAACTCATGGTGACTCCATGTACAATGGAATGAAGCATTACCTGGTCCTTCTTCATCTTCATGATCGTTGGTCTGCTCACGTCCATTGTTGTGGCCCCTGTGTATTCTGAGTGCCTTCCAACCTAGGGGGCTCATCGTCCAGCACTGTATGGGACAATATTCTGTTGTGATCCATAAGGTTTTCATTGGCTCGCTTTTGGAAATAGATCACCAGGCCTTTCTTTTCTACTTTTTAGGGAGTATTAACTTAATGCTGTATAAACAGATTTGAATGAGATACTGAAAATGGACAGCTTTTACCTTTCAAGTCTATGTATGACTGTGAGTTTCTAGTTACACCCAATTCAACACCCTTGTGCTGGGTGTCCTCTGAGTGCAGGAGGCCTGTGTTAAGGACTGAAGACGAAGGCTCTGCTATCATCCATCTTGTCACCCAGTGGAGGGAGGTCGAGCAAGCCTGAGACCAATGATAATGTGATATAGGGGTGGAATTGAAAGTAGAGGAAGAAGAGGCCAGGAGAAACTTCATAAAGGAGGAGGTAGCATTTGAAATGATGTTGAAGGATAGATTTACGTGGTTTCAGCACTGGAGCTGTGAGGAAGCTATACCAGGCAGAGGAAATCGGAAAGTGCAAGGGCCTAGAGGCAGGAGGGGGCATGTTACTCCCTTTTGGGGGGAATGTCCTGTGAGCCATTCTGTTCAACTGGAGCATGGTGTGTGAGGTAGAATATAGGAAGCAAATCGAGAAAGTTTGGTGGTGTCTGTTTTGTGGGAGTTAACTGCCAGGCTGGTGTTTCTTATAGTGAAATGGTTGTGAGCACAGGCTTGAGCAGGTCTACAGGGTTCACATCCCTGCAAGACCACAGTCACTCACTGTGTGACCTTGGGCAAGTTGAGAAAATTCTCTGGGCCTCATTTTTCTCACGTGTTAAATAGGGCGTCCTAATGGTGCTGACCTTGGAGGGTTATAAGGAGTGAGTGAGCTGAAGGCAAGTCCAGAGCTTGTTTTCTTTTAACCCATACAATAGAGGTAGTTCCTGGCTTAGGATGTATTTGAGTTATGATGAACCGCACTTATGACCTTTTTTCTTTTTCTTTTTTTTGTACATCATACTGTTAGTTGGAGCCCTGGTGGCGCAGTGGTTAAGAGTTCAACTGCTAACCCAAAGGTTGGCAGTTCGAATCCAGCAGCCACTCCTTGCAAACCCTATGAAGCAGTTCTACTCTGTCCAATAGGGTCACTATGAGTCGGAATCGACTCGACGGCAACAGGTTTGGTTTGAGTTTTTATTGCTAGTATTATGTACTACATACCGTGTTGCCGTGTGTAATTTGCGGATGTTATCGTTCTCATGCCAACTTCCAAAGAAAAATAAAGATTGGATTTATAAAGATACTGATAATAAAAAGCAATAATAATGAAAACTAGAAAAAAAAAAGAAATATTCAACTTACATCAGAACTGACTTATGACAGAGTCATCAGAATGGGGACTGCCGTCATAAATCGGGGACTACGTGTGTATTCTTTCTGTTATGGACAGTGAGGGATGGAGCAAGAGAGCAGCTAAGGCATAGCTGTGAATTTCTATTTCTTGTGCCCGCCGTCAGCCACATTGTTCCTCTTCTGCTCTGAAAGGACAGAATTAAGTTGCTTTACATCATAAGTGAAAAAAGCCAGACACAGAAGAACAAATTGTATGATCCCACTTATATGAACTATCTAGAATAGCCAAATGCATGGAGACAGAACGTTGATTAGTGGTTCCAGAGGCTGGGGGAAGGGAGAACAGGGTGTGATTGCTTAATGGGTACTGAGTTTCTGTTTGGGGGGATGAAAAAGGCTTAGAAATAGATGGTGGTGATGGTTGTACAGCATAGTGGATGTAATTGACACCACTGAATTTTATGCTTAGGAATTATTAAAATGGCAATTTTACGTCATGTGTAGAATTTTCTCGCGATAAAATATTTTAAAAAATGAAAAAGAAATGCTTTGCCTCAGTAATTGGAACTGTTTTACTTCTTCTTGGCCCTGTTCTCTGCGTGGTTTCTTACTCCACAGTGCCCTCTGCTGGTGCTTTAGTGTGATTCTGAAACGTGTGGAGTGAGAGGTGGGGCCTGCACCTTTAAGGCGATGCCCGCTGTTGCTCACACACCTGGCTGAAGTCCCTGCCAAGATGAAAAGGAGCTACCTGGGAGGTTGAAGGAAGAGACAAATGTGATCTGTGTGGGACAGGACCCTTCAGAAGAGAGGATGCTGATGCTGGCTCCCCTGCGTCCTTGGCTCCCGGCAGCAGCTCCTTCTGTTTCTTCCTTCCTTTCTCGTTGGCACGTGAGGGGGTGTTCATCATGGGGCTCTGATAATCCTTCCAGGGAAATGTGTCGCAAGTGACAGCTCCATGACAGATCCAGAAATGTCATTTCAAAGTTAAGCACCACATTAAAAAAAAATGACATGGAAACGTGGCTTCTTCCCTAGCTTTGCCTAAACCTACTCTTTTGAATCTCTTTAACATATCTACTCTAGTTTTTTAATCCTATATAGGAGGATCTTTGGTGTTGTTTTTAAAAATGGATGGAATTCAAAGTAAAATCGTCCATCCTTGATAACCTTAGTGTGTGATGATTGATTGGGAGATAATAATGTGATGGGATCAAAGCTCTTTAACATTTTCTGATTTATAAGGCATTTTCACGTATATCATTTCTTTTTCTCATAAAAACTTGTATTGTTAATAAACTGAAGTAATTATATCAATAATGTCCCCTTTTACAGATTCGGAGCTGAGCTCAGCAAGGTTATATGTCTTCTCTGAGATCACTTCCGACTAGTTAAGAGATAGAGTTTGTGACTTGAACATGAAGTCTTTTGATTTCAAATCTCATTTTTTTTTTTTTGTTTACCGGAAGGCTAATGCAAGAGTCTAGAGGAAAAAGAATCAGAGGAAAACATTTATGAGTTGCTTAATAAATGTTAGATGTCTTCGTTAGAAATGAAAGCATTCCGTAGGAACATGAGGCCACTGGATGATGAAGTTTAAAATTGTTCTTTGAGAAAGGCTTCCTGAAGGTGGTATTTTTTTGGGTGATTTCTAAAAGAGTATCTAGGTGTGCAGTAGCTGAAGGGGACAGAGCAATGATTTCCCCAGGATTAGGGGTCAATTTTAAAAGCAAGTAGGGGTAAGAGAGTGTCTCTGGATGGTACAAACAGTTAACATGCTCAGCTACAAATTGAAAGGTTGGTGATTCGAGTCCTCTCAGAGGTTCCTTGGAACAAAGGCCTGGTGATCTATTTCCAAAAAATCAGCCATTGAAAGCCCTATGGAGAGCAGTTGTACTCTGACACATATGGGGTTGCCAGGAGTTGGAGTCAACTCCACTGTAGCTGGGCCTGGCGTCAGGTTAGGATGCAGCCACGCATCGGTGGCCAGGGATAGAATGGTGTCTGAATTTACTGCAGAATTCACAAGGGATCGTGGCTTAAGTGCGGATTTCACAGTGCCCCTTCTCAACCCAAAATTCTAGAGCAGTGAAGGTGGATTAGGCAGTCCCTGGGTGGTGAAAACAGTTAAGCACTTGACTATTAGCCGAAAGGTTGGGGGTTTGAAACCACCCCGAGTGGCCTCTGAAGAAAGGCCTGGCGATGTGCTTCTGAAAGGTCCCAGCTTTGAAAACCCTGTAGAGCAGTTCCACTCTGCACATGTGGGGTCACCATGAGTCGAAATCAACTCAAGGGAAAATAACTACAACCACAAGGGAGGATTATGAGCAGCCTTTATATGGATTACCGCGCTCTAACTTGGTCTAAGAGGCAAGGTGGCGTACTGGATAGAACGTGGAACAAGAAATCAGCAGGCTTCCACTTAACTTCCCTGTTCCCAGGGGTCTATCTGTAGAAAATAGTGCCTAAGGCAATTAGCGTTAAATTGGTGAATGATCTCTCACCGCTGGCCATGGAAACCGTGGTGGCCAATAGAAATTGCTCATTGGTGCCCCGCCTCAAGTGGTGCCCAGCCCCACACCCCATAGGGTGATGAACAGTTCATAGGGGATGAACTGTGCCTCAGTTTCATCTGCATAAAATGAGCATATAAACAGTGGACGCCTCTGCCCAGGAGGGTTGTGAGAGGGTAGAGATGTGCAAGGGGTGTGACAGTACTCGCTGTGAGATACTAAGTTAAGGGGCACCGCCTCAGCAGTTCCCTTCATTTGTTTATCAAACCCGTCTGCATTTTGGTGTCTGAAAACAGGTCGATGAACTTCTGCACATATACGGTTCAACCACAGATGGTGTTCGCCGAGACAGCACATGGGAAACACAGGCTTACATTCACTTCCAGGATAACCAAGGAGTCACTGTCATGATCAAACCAGAACACAGAGTAGAAGATATTTTGACCTTGGCATGCAAGGTAATGGATTTTGCTGCTGAAATGTACTTCTGAGTGGAAACTGTCATTAATGTTGCACTCCTAGACCTTCTAAATTTTCTGTATTAGGAAACATAGTTGAAACCAAAAAAACAAACCCGTTGCCGTCAAGTCGATTTCGCCTCATGGTGACCCTATAGGACAGAGTAGAAATGCCCCATAGGGTTTCCAAGGAAATGTAGTTAATAACATATGTCTTAATTTACATAGTTATGAATTTACCTTCTGCTCCTCATCTCTGAGAAGGAATGAATTTTTAGATCATGACCCCTTGCCTTCATAAAGAACCTGAGCTATTCTACTGAAATTCTGTTTACAAGTAGTCCCTGAATTATGACGGGGTTCCATTCTGACAACTCCGTCATAAGCTGGTTCTGATGTAAGTCGAATACCTCATTTTTTGTTTTTTAGGCTCCATTTCAAAGCACAGCAGTGTTTTGAACAGTAAATTATAAAATTGAACATCTGCAAGTGAACATCTGAGAATGATAACATCAGTAGATTACACACTTCAACATTGTATGTTACTAATGATAAGGTGTACCAAAAAAAAAAAAGGATGGTCCTAAGTGCAGTTTGTTATAACTCAAATACGTCAATATGTCGCAAGTCCGGGACTACCCGTATACCTTTACGTTTAGAATAATTATAAGCTTTGTTGCTGGTTTAATTATTTTGAGATGGTGCTCCATAAGAAGGTGGCACAAACTTGGCAGAAGTTTAATTCTAAATAGTTTTTACAGAGTTTCTCTAGATGAAGCAAGTTAACTTAATGCCATGCACCGTTGCTTCATCAGGTTGGTAGGAGATGTTGTTTTATTTATTATTCAAACTGGGTTTTATTCCCAATCTGAAAAGTAACTTTATGGTAAATCTTAGAGTGCACTGACATAGATGAAATAGCATCAGCAGCATCTGATCAGTTTCAAGACCACCAGGTGGCATCGTAGAGCTTACATCTTACTAAATTTTCAGAGAAAATGCAATGAAATATATGAAATGATGGAAAACATGTAGAATTTGGTAGCTCTTTACCATATACGTTTAATGTATGTGGAAAATGTTTTAGTCCTTTTCTGTCACTTTGACTTGGAGCATTAGGATACTGTGCACTTATATATGTAGCTTATAGTCTTACGGGAGCCCCGGTGGCACAGTGGTTAAGCATTCAGCTGCTAACCAAAAAGTCAGCAGTTTGAATCCACCAGCCACCCCTTAGAAACCCTATGGGGCAGTTCTTCTCTGTCTTACAGGGTCACCATGAGTCGGAATCAACTCAACAGCTACAAGTTTTATAGTCTTATGTGCTTAATTTCCTTTTACTCCATTATGTAAGGATTTTATCCAACAATCAACAATGTTGTTCTGTACGAGTGGTGTTGGTCAGGGGTGTCAGAAGTGGTGGGTTAATTAGACCCATTTAGAACATAACCAGTTGCCATCAATTCCAATCCATGACGACCTCATGTGTGTCAGAGTAGAACTGTGTTTCCATAGGGTTTTCAATGGCTGATGTTTTGGAAGTACGTTGTTAGACCTTTCTTCTGAAGCTCTTCTGGGTGGACTCGAACCTCCAACCTTTTGGTTAGCAGCTGAGTGCATTAACCATTTGTACCACTCAGGAACTGCAGTAAGAGCATAGGCCTGAGATAATTTCTCACTGCCGAAATGTGTATACGAGAGAAAGAGAGAATAAAAGTGTGTGTGTGTCTGTGTGTGTACATATTTCTTTCCTTTTGAAAACCTTTTGGAGTAGGAAATTTCTAATTCTGTTGTCTAAAGATATGAGATTATTCATAGTTTACAAACTTCTCTACTTCAGTAAGGGGAAACAAATTTAAAATCTGGGTATAATCAATCGATATGGAGCCCTGGTGGCACAGTGGTTAAGAGCTCAGCTGCTAACGAAAAGATCTACGGTTGGAATCCACTAGCCACTCCTTGGAAACCCTACGGGACCATTCTGTTCTGTCCTATAGGGTTATTATGAGTCAGAATTGACTTGATGGTGACGGGTTTGTTTTTTTTTTTTTACCCCTTGCTGAGATAGTAAAACATATGCTATTATCAGATACATTCTATCGTAATCTCTCAACAGTGCATCTCTTGCAGTTAATGATAAGCAATATCACTTAGAGAAAACCTTCTTAAAAGTAATTATTTGTCCCTTCTTTTCTTTTTGTCACATTTAAACATGAACTTTTCCATAGGTTTAAACTCAGCCTATTGTATACAGTATTTCGTTTAGAAACTTCCACTTCTATTTTTAACGAGCCCCTTGGACAATAATGACTTTAGAAAGAGCATTTAAAATCTGAATAGCTTTCTCTTTCTTTATAGATGAGGCAGTTGGAGCCCAGCCACTATGGCCTACAACTTCGAAAATCAGTAGATAAAAACACTGAATACTATATTCCTGGGCCATATGAGTACATGCAAGACCAGGCAAGTGTGCGTTAGCTTTAGAAAGAAAAATTTAACTACATCCTGGGCCTTTTGAGAAAAATAAATCATTTTGGGGAAAATTCGTTTAAATTTGACATCTAGTTTGGAAACAGTCTCTGTAAAGGGGTAACTTGTTAACAGTGTTCCTGTTTCATTATGAAAAAAGTGTCAAAATAATTTTTTTAATTTATCGTACCATCAAAGTCTCTGATTTTGTTGTTTTCACCTTTTGTAGGCTTATGATGAAATAGAAGTCTTTCCATTAAACGTTTATGATGTACAGCTTACTAAGACTGGAAGTGTCTCCGACTTTGGTAAGCATAAAGAAAACCCTTATCAGAGGGTTATGTTGTTCAGTCTGGCCTATTTTGCACCCAGTATCCCTTGGAACCCTGGTGACGTAGTGGTAAAGAGTTCAGCTGCTAACCAAAAGGTCAGCAGTTTGAATCCACCAGCTGCTCCTTGGAAACCCTATGGGGCAGTTCTATTCTACTCTGTTTTATAAGGTTTCTGTGAGTTGGTATCAACTCGATAGCAGTGGGCTTGGCTTTTGGTATCTTTGGTCCTATTTTTTTTTTCTTTTATGTTTACATATTCAGATAATATGACAATAGTTCCTAAACTTCTTTTCTCTTCCTTCCTTTCTATTTATTTATATAAGTAGGATAAAAGGATATGTGTTAATATTTAAGAAAAGAAATTAAAAGGAATGAATATAAAAATAGATGAGAAATTTGAGATGATGATGATAATAATAATCATCAGTGATGACCTCACAATGAATTTAAGGAGTCCCTGGCTGGAGCAAATGGTTAAGCGCTTGACTACTAGTTAATAGGTTGGTGGTTCGAACCCACCCAGAGGTGCCAGCCCTGTCTTCTGAAAGGTCACAGCCTTGAGAACCCTATCGAGCAGTTCTACTCTGCACACATGGGGTTGCCATGAGTTGGAATTGACTTGACAGCAAATAACACCACCACAATGAATTTACTGTGTATGAGGTGCTGTTCTAAGCTGATTAACTCATGATTGATCTCCGGTGTCTTTGCTCATAGTTAATGTTTACCTACCTGGAATGCTACCCTTCACCCCCCCACCCCAGTCCCTCCTCTCTGATTATGTAAGTCCTTCCAATCCTTCAAGAACTAACTACTTTTCTTGAAGAAGCCTTATCTTATTGCTTTAGCTGCACTTAACTCTTCCTTCTCTGAGTTTAACAATTTAGAGTCATTATTATCAAATTTATAACTTCATAGTATCTAATTCTTGCATTTCCATTTGTATTTAAATTTGGCTCTAAGCTGCTTGGAGCCCTGGTAGTGCAGTGGTTAAAGCACCGGGCTGCTAATCAAATGGTTGGCAGTTCGAACTTAACAGCTGTTCTGTGGGAGAAAGATGTGGCAGTTGGCTTCCATGAAGATTTACAGCCTTGGAAACCCTATGGGACAGTTCTGCTATAGGGTCACTATGAGTCAGAATTGACTCGACTGCAACAGATTTTCTAAGCTGTTTATGGACTGTGCTCATGCCTTTAAGTTCATTTTTATCATTTATTATCTCTTTTACCATAGAAGCTCAATAATCAGCTAACGATCAATAAATATCTCCATAGAAAAACTATTTCTTATCATGGTAAATGTACTGACACAACATAATTATTTTCCTTAAAATGATACAAGTTGATCAAATCCTAGTCATTATTTAAAATAAGCTAAAACCAAACCAAACCCGTTGCCATCAATTCTAACTCATAGTGACTCTAGAGGACAGAGCAGAACTGCCCCATAGAGTTTCCAAGGAGCAACCAGGTGGATTAGAACTGCTGAACTTTTGGTTAGCAGCTGTAGCTCTTAACTAACCGCTGGGCCACCAGGGTTTTCAAATAATATTCTAAGGTTTCCTTTTATAACTTATTCCTTGTTTTCTACTTTACATATCTTTTTTTTTTTTTTTTTTTGAGCCAGATCAGATGTGGGTTTTTCCTTGGGAAACCCTCCTTAGCATTTTGTTTGTACTTTCATTGACCTTCACTCTACTTTGTGGGGATGTCATTTGTGTGTCTTGTTTGTATTTGAATGAATGAATGAAGATACCTGGCAAAGGTATTTATAGGCGGCCACAAGCTGCCAGGCTCTGCCTGGGGCACAGAGGAAGCATAGGGGAACAGGACACTCTTCCTGTTCTCAAAGAACTCCCAGTATTATGGGCCAAGTCATGGAAACGTGTTCCCAGCTGTGGAAACAGAGAGGAGGGAAAGCTCCAAGTCAAAGGAGACCCATGTAGAGGAGGTGAGGTCCCACTTGGGTTTTGCGTGTAGACATATTAGGACGAACACTGTCTTCTTATAAAGCTCTTCAAAAAACCAAACGAAACCTGTTGCTGTCAAGTTGATTCTGACTCACAGCGACCCTATAGGACAGAGTAGAACTGCCCCACAGGGTTTCCAAGGCTGTAATCTTTACGGAAACAGACTGCCACATCTTTCTCTCACAGAGTGACTGGTGGGTTCAAACTGCCAACCTTTTGGTTAGCAGCCCAGCACTTAACCATTGCACCACCAGGGCTCCGTATAAATCTCCTGGCCCTGTACACAGCTGTTTCTCAACAAGTATTTATTGGATTGAATTGGAACTTAATTTATTTCAATAAAAGTATTTATTGGTCTCAATTTTTTAATAAGGTTGAGTGTTCATATTTCTCAAACCTGCAGCTCTGACATGTTCCTCTTTTTCTCTTCCTGCTAGATAATTGCACTTTCAAAATAGGTGTAATATAGATGTTCTCAACATACCATATTCATGAGAATAGGTGCTCAAGGAAATACTGCTGCCTGGGTTGGAGAAATTAATTCACGTGGTGAACTTAGGCTTGACTTTTCCTTTTATTTCTGTTCCCAGGGTTTGCAGTGACAGCCCGGGTGGACAAACATCAGCATCTCAGCCGGATAATCATAAGTGATGTTCTCCCTGATGGCTTGGCGTATGGGGAAGGTCAGTGTGGCCCAGAGAGTAGCCCTGTTCCTTCTTAATTTAAAGCTTTGCAATGCAGTCTTGCTAGTGAAATTTTCTTCTTCTAGTCTTGCCAGAAAACTATTTTTCCTGGAATTTGAAAGAAAGTAAACTGAATAGTTTAGTCGAGAATGCATTTACATGTATACGTAGAGTGTGTGTTTGTGTGTGTATGCGCACCGTTGAGAGAGAGAGCATATATATATATATACAGAGAGAGTATACATATATATGTAAAGACAGCAGGAGGAAGAAAGAGAATGAGAGAGACAGATAAACAGACAGATAAAACAAATGTTATTTCCTAGGGCATTTAACAGCATATAAATAGAAGAACAATGAATTTGAATGACTCCCACATTGTTTCCCTTTCAAAGGACTTTTTCTCAGACTAGCCTTGAGAGAGCTGACATTTGTTTTCTTATCAGTAACATCTAAATACTAGACATTTGGTGCTTTCTTTGAAAACTCACCAGCAAGAGCCCCTGAGAGTCTACGTGGTTGGATTCAGCTTACTTTCTTATTAACACATTTCTTTGAGAAATCTCTTTCTCTCTCTCTTTTTTTTTCTTCCTGTTTTCAGGGCTGAGAAAGGGCAATGAAATTGTGACCTTAAATGGGGAAGCCGTGGCTGATCTTAACCTGAAGCAAATGGAGGCCCTGTTTTCTGAGAAGAGTGTGGGACTCACCCTGGTTGCTCAGCCTCTGGAAGCAAAAAGAACCCTGGGTACTTCCTGGTCCGACAGTGACCTGTTCTCCACTGACCAGAAAAGGCTGCTGCCTCCCCTTAACCAATCCCAGCTTCTGGAGGAATTCCTGGATAACTTTAAAAAGAACACAGCGAATGGTGAGGCTTTGTTCTTTCTTTCTTCTTAACCGCTGGTATCAGCAGCTAATACTTTTAGGCTGTAATTTTGCTTATTTACTTGCTTACTTGATTATTTAATCTGTTCAAAGAATGTCTTCTCATTTATTAGGAGAAGAACATAGACGCCAACTGAGTGGATTTTATCAGAATTCCATGCGTTTTAGTAATTATAGTAATTTTGTGAGAATGGAAAATTATTTTTGCACAAAATAACAATTCTTTAAAATCGCCAAATCTTTGCAAATCACCCACAATATTTAGTATTGTGATTGCTTTGTGATTGAAAGTAGATGAAAAGCCAACATAAACGGCCAGGGTTGAAAAAATTTTCTATTTAGTTCTACTTGGAAATAAGGCAGAAACATTTTGCAATAATATGTTGGGCTCTTAAAATAGTTGATGTAATTCCAGTCTTTACCTCTTTCGCTAAGTCCTACTTTCTCCATAGACTGTACACTTTTAATGTAGGCCATGAATTTTAAAATTTTGTAAAAGCCTAAAAATGAAAAGCTGTATGCCAGTTCATTTTAGATTAGGAAATCATTGGAAGATTTGAATTTCTGAACTCATCATTCATGCATATTTCATATATTGCAGTCAGGTAAATTAGAGGCTTCAGCTAATTCTGAAAACCAAAAACCTTGTAGTTTCTTCTCTGTCCTCCTTGAAGATATTGGCCAGACTCCACAAGAGACTGAGCATAAGGTCTTTATCCTGAGGACACACACAGTAATTTTTCTACTTAATTACAATGAGAAGGGATTTCCAGTGGAAATCTCTGCATGATTACCAAAAATGCATGAAAAACACAAAAGAGAAGTTGCTGGGGGTGGATTTAATTATCAAGCAAGTTTATTAGGTCATTTTTGGAATGAAAAAAATTGGATTATAAGATTTGTGATTCAATAAGGCATTGAATGCTTTCTCTTCCTCTCTTGGGATTTTTCTCCAATTTAAAATATCATTAAATTGACTATTGGCATTTAAAAGTGAGAATCATAAAACAAAAGTTGTGATGGAACTAATTAATTATGTGGTTATATTAGGGCCATCATTCAGCTACCCTGGGCTTTGGTTATAGGCCTGAGTATTCCATGTAATACATGTATGTGTCCACTCGCTGGATTCATTATTCTCAAGGGAGACATTCACTACCCATGTTATACTTCTATGTATTTTATCATAGTAAGAAATGATGCCAGAGTCTGTAAGAGTTTTGGTACACGGGGAAGGATTGCCTCTAAAAAGCAGCAAAAGGGACAGATTTACCTTATTTTTTTTTTTAATACCAAGGATCGATCACGTAAGTTAAGCTCGTTTACCACTTCTTTGCAAGGAAATAATGTTGTTGTTAGTTGCCATCAAGTTGGCCCCTGACTCACGGTGACCCCAGGCACAAAGAAATGAAATGCTGCCTGGTCATGTGTCATCCCATGATTGGTTGTGGATTGGACCATTGTGATCCATAGGGTTTTCATCGGCTGATTATTGGAAGTAGATAGCCAGGCCTTTCTTCCTAGTCCGTCTTAGTCTAGAAGCTCTGCTGAAACCTGTTCAGGATTGCAGCAACAGACAAGCCTCCACTGGCAGACAGTAGTTGCTGTGCTTGAGGTGCATTGGCTGGGAATCGAACCCAGGGAAGGGGAGGAGTCTTCCACTGAACCACCACTGCTCCCATGTGAAGACCCTACAAGGTCCTGAATATGTTCCAAAGCTATTATATTACTCATCCAGGGAAGCCATTCCAGAGGTCTAAACCTTTACAACCTCTCTAAAATTCTGATTTCTGTGCACACACAGAGTTTAGCTGTTCAAACTGTGCCGGTGTGTTTCTTCACAGCTAGTTTTCCTGCAGGTACAGCCGCAAGGTCTGCGTCTTCACTTCCTTTCCCTGGGTGGTGTTTCTCCACCAACCAGGGAGAGTGACAGCCTCTTGCCGGTTTCCTGGCGTGACTGTGAGAAGGGGTGAATCCATCTCCTGGGCAGCCTTCTGCCCTGGGTTTTGCTGCGAGTCCCCTTTCCTCCCCTCCTGGTTACTGCTCCATAGCAGTGTCTCGTGTTGGAAACACAACAGCCAAGACAGATAGACCGCCTCTTCAAACACTTGACCAATGTGGATTAATTTTCCTTGGGGATGACAGCTGTGTAGCTTATGAAGGAAGTTAAAGGCCTATGAGTGAACACCTCAGAAAGAAGGCTGTCGGTTTTTAAGTTGGAGGTGGTGCAGATGGTCAGTATGCCTGGTTGCTAACCAAAAGGTTGATGGTTTGAGTTCACCCAGAGGCACCTTGGAAGAAAGGCCTGGTGATCTACTTCTGAAAAATCAACCACTGAAAATTCTGTGGAGGTCATTTCTACTCTGACATATGGTGTCGCCGTGAGTCAGAGTCGACTTGAAGACAACTGGTTAGATGAGAAATGCAAAGATAAAAGAGAGAAAACACTTGTGCATAAAGTCATGACAGGCTAAGCCTTTATTTAGTGAAACCTCTGAGGGGTGGCCTGGGGTGGAGGCAGGGTTCGAGTATTGGCCTGCTGTCTAGAGGTTGTGTGACATGAAGGACACTCTCAGCCTTGGTTATGGATTGATTTGTGTCCGCCAAAAGTGTGTGTCAACTTGGCTAGTCCATGATTCTCAGTATTGTGTGATTGTCCACCATTTTGTCACCTGATGTGATTTTCCTATGTGTTTTAAATCCTATCTCTATGATGTCAATGGAGTGGGATTAGAGGCAGTTATGTTAATGAGGCAGGACTCAATCTACAAGATTAGGTTATGTTTTAAGTTAATCTCTTTTGAGATATAAAAGACAGAAGTGAGCAGAGGGACATGGGACCTCATCCTACCAAGAAACAAGAGCCAAGAGAATAGTATATCCTTTGGACCTGGGGTCCTGGTGCTTAGAAGCTCCTCGACTGGGGAAGATTGATGACAAGGACCTTCACCAAGAGTAACAGAGAGAGAAAGCATTTCCCTGGAGCTGGCACCCTGAATTCGGACTTGTAGCCTCCTAGACTGTGAGAGGAAAAATTTCTCTTTGTTAAAGCTATCCACTTGTGATATTTCTGTTATGGCAGCACTAGATGACTAAGATAGCCAGCGAGGTGTGGGTGTTCGTAGCTAATAGCCTGCTTCCTTATTCCATGATGAGGCCATTCTGAGGTGCACTCCACACGGTTCTTTGGTGGCTCCTGTGAGATTGAGCCCTTTGTTGCACATCAAAAAAAAAACAAACCTATTGCCGTCAAGTCGATTATGACTCGTAGTGACCCTGCAGTGACATAGCAACCTCATTTTCACACCTTTCTTCGTTTCTTGTCTCACCTACTCTGTTCTCTTACTTGGGCTTCCTGTTATCACCTCTCAAACTGCTGTCCCCAAGTCCTTGACCTGAGCTTGCTTTTCAGGGAAACTGTATTCATTTCTGAGGACTGCTGTAACAAAGTACCGCAAACTGGGTGGCTTAACACAACAGAAATTAATTCTCTTGCAGTTCTGGAGGCTAGAAGTCCAAAACCAAGGTGTCAGGAGGGCGGTGCTCTCTCTGAAGGTTTTAGGGGAGGATCCTTCCTTGTCTCTTCCAGCTTCTGGTGGCCCCAGGCATTCCTTGGCTTCTGGCTGCATCACTCCAATCTCTGCTTCCGTTTTCATGTGGCCATTTCCCTCTAGGTCTGTGCTTCTTCTCCTCTTCTTATAAGGACAGCAGTGAGGTTGGATTAGGGCCTCCCCTACCCTAGTATGACCTCATCTAAATCCTGCTGATTACATTGCAAAGACCCTATTTCCAAATAAATTACATTCACAGGTATGGGAGGCTAGGACTTGAACATATCTTTTTGAGTGACAATTCAACCCAAACTGAACCCAAAAGAAGATACTAGCCTTGGTCTTCTCATCCAGATGGCGAAGCCTCTGCCCTCTACCCCCATGGGCTGCTGGGAGGCTGAAGGAGTCAGTGTCTATGACCTGTCCAGTCCAGCTCCTTGGATAGTAGGCACTCTGAAAACACAGTTTTCCTTCTCTTCCCTCTCATTTGCAGCTCAACATTTTAATTGAAAATTACTTTGGTTTGCTTTTGGGATGAATCAGAAAAGAGTAACCCAGTTTTCTTACTAAAAAATTAAGAGTTACACAAATGAAAGAATTGTAGTGGCTTTGTAAAACAATTTTTAGTACAACTTTGAATTATACATAGTGGTTATTATTTCAGTCTCCCTTTTCCTAAATTTCACATTCTCTCAGCATTGCCAGAAGGCAACCTGGTGCTTGAAAAGAAGGGAAGTTTTATTTTACTGTTTTCTTTTTCAGGGAAGTCAAATTCTTTTCCTATTAATAAAATCCAAACAGCTGGCTGGCTGTGGGGGAAGACCTATTTTTAATAGAAACTATAAGAATAGCAGATGATGCAGGAAGAAGCGAGCCTTAGCCAGTTGTTTGGGGCACATCTTGACCATCCAAGGTGAATATTTATTAACCCCTTACCAGTTGCTGTTGAGTAGATTCCTCACATGTGTCAGAGTAGAACTGTGCTCCAAAGAGTTTTCAATGGCTGGTTTTTTTTGGAAGTAGATTACTAGGTCTTTCTTGCAGGGAGCCTCTGGGTGCACTCAAAGCTCCGACTTTTTGGTTAGCAGCCAAGTGTGCTAACCGTTTGCACCACCCAGGGACTCCATACACTGGGGGTTTAAAATGTGTGGGGCACTGGGAACAGGCATACATACAGTCCAGGTGTTTTGGTCTATTTTTGTTAGGTTCAGTCTGTCGATCAGATTCAAGCAGAAAATATATCTCCTTTTTACCTGTCCACTTCAGTAAGATGCATGGGGTCTCAGTATGTAGGGTGAGACTGGCTTTTTATGCCATTTCAGGTCTTCTAGACATGGTTCATACTCCCATCACATTTGACAGCTCTCGCCATGGATCCTCGCCTCTCTGGCTGCCTTGCTCACCTTGTAGCACTCTGACAGGGAGCCTGGCA